CGAGGCAGGGCCGGGAGCCGGCCGGGCTGAGCCCTGGCTCTCCCGGGCTCGCCCGGGTTTTACCCAACGTCTTCATCCATCCGTTTCTCACTATCCCGTGGCCAAACGGTGGCCCAATGCTGGCTGGCGTTGAGTGGGAAACTGGGCCGTGCGGCTCCTGGCAGCACCTGACAGTAATTTTGGCAACGGCCTCAAAAAAGTAGATAAAACTGTCCTGGAAAATGCAACACAAAATGGGAAAGGAGAGCAGCGTTGACGGGGCTGGGCTGGGGTGAGCGTGTGGGAAGCCTTGTGCGTGCAAACCTCCGCCTTTTGTTTCCGGACCAGAACCGCTGTTAGCCTCGATACTGTGTCCTGGTCTCGGCTTCGTCCTGCCTGAAGGGGCACGACTCCGTCATGTTGGCTTCAGATCATTCCCCGGCACTGCCCCCCCCTCTGCACTGCACTGTCCCGGGGCTCGTTGCTCGGGGAACCGGTGTGATGGAGCCGCTCCCCCCTGGCACCCAGGCCCCTTGGAGCCCATCTCTGCTCTCCGCAGCTGGCAGACAGATCCAGCCTCTCTAGCTTTGCACGCAGAAGGTGCCAAGCTGGCAGCAGAGGCAAATGCCCTCCAGCCACGCACAGTCTGCCCTCGAGTACGTCCTAGCGGGCAGCACAGACTCCATTGCCCTCTTGGTCCTGGGGTGGTGGCAGCTGCGTGGGTAACACGGACACTGTCCCGTGGGGTCTGGTCTGAGATGCCCCCTCTCTGCTTGGAACGGTGGGGTGTGCACGCTCTACACCAGAGCTGGGAGATGAGGGGTTAAGTCCCAGCCGGGCCTGCCTGACACCTGTGCTACCTGCACTTGGGCTGAAGACTTTCAGCTGGGCCTTGGGGAGATGGGGTTTAGCCTGGAGCAGGAAGGGAGATAGGGTTGGCTCGGGGATACTCAGCTGTGGAGGGCTGCAGGTAAGCCTAGCTTGGTCTCTGCTTTGGTGGGTTGGAGAGAAGGGCAAGAGCCTGCTGTGCTGTGGCTCAGCCGCCCCGGGGCTTGGGGGCCTCGGCCTTAGATGCAGCGGGGCCTGCTTTGGGGCACTTGCTGAGCCTGTCGGCTGGTCTAGGGGAGCCCTGCCTGCCTGCAGCAGTGAGAAGCAGCTCCTGCGGTGACCTCTGCCCCTCCAGGCTGGGCCAGCTTGCTCTCTGCTTCTGAGTCACAGGAAGTGAGTAGCCTGGTGCCTGGGGGGCAAGGGAGGACGTGGGGGCTGACAGCCGGCAGGCTCGGCTCAGATGGAAATCCTAGAAATGAATAGGTCGGGATGGGCCCGTGTGACTGACAGCCCCGGGGGACCCACACAGGCCGTCTCAGGGGTCCTGGGCTAGCCACGCAGCGGAGGGATCTGCAAATGGATGCAGCCCCCCCACGCCCCAAGCCTCCTCCCTGACCCCCCTGCTCCATTTGCACTTGCAGTGGGCTCCCAAAGGGGTTGAACCCTGGCCCCAGTCCCTTGTCCAGGGGCCTTGGACCGTGCCTGAGCTGTACAATGCAGGAAGGGGGCAGGGGCTTCCCTGCACCCCTGTGGCCAGGTGCAAGCACCACAGGCCTGAGAGAGAGACCGTGGTGATCAGCTGAGTCTCCTGCAAGGGGCTGGCAGGTCTGCACGCTGCGCACCTTTGCCGCAGGCTCTCTGGGGCCTTGGATTTATAGCTAGGGTGTCTCGGGCAGAGAGTAACGATATGCCACCCGCGGGGCTGCAATGTGGTCCTCTGGGCTGCTGGCAGGTGGCAGCCCTGCCTGGGCCAAATCAGTGCCATGGTGCTGAGGAGGCAGGGCTGGCCTCTTCCTTCTGGGGGAAGGGGGCCCCTTCCTGCTCGCTTGCATGCACTTTCGCTCCCTCTCTGCGTCACTGGGGCGGCCGCGAAGCTTTCGCTTGCGTGCACGGGGAACTCTGGAGGCGCGTGCGGGGCCGGGGAATTCCACTGCGCGCTCCGATGCGAGCGCCGGGTGTGAGCTCCCGCTTGGGCCGGCAGCAAGTGCCCCCGAGAGGGAAAACCTGCCCCCTGGGCAGAGCTGCCCTGTGGGCAAATGGCCTCTGTGCAAAGGGAGCTGGGGGGCACGGGGGAAGAGCTTAGCAAGGCCGTGGGGGCTGAGGGTCTTGCCCTGCCAAACTTGTCTTCCTCTCTGTGGGGCAAGGCACCTAGCACTCAACAGGCACCGGCTGAGTGCTGTTAATTATTAATAGTAATGTCCCATTCCACTCTGCAGCCACCCGGCAGCATCTGTGGCAGGGACATTACCTACCCCCAGAAGGCATCTTGCTGGCTCCGCGCAGCTCGCTCGCTCGACCTTGTGCCCTGCACTCGGCAAAAAGCAGCACTGAAAACCCGCCGGTCCCTGCGGGCTTCTCCTCTCCTCCTGCCTGGAACTATCCCCAGCTCCCGGAGGGGATGCATGCCCTCTGGCTGGGGAAGGACGCTGCTGTGGGGTCTGAGATGAGGGAAAAGCACCGGGTTGCAGAGCGTGCAGGAAATGGCTGCTCTGGCCCCCAGAGCTGGCGCCTCCAGGATGCCAAGCTGTCTGGGCCCCAGCGGCTGTGGGAGGCAGGGAGAGGGGATCGGAGGAGCCCAGTGATGCTGGTACTTCCTGCACTTCTAGCAGCCCCGACATGCTACCAGCCTGGCACCCAGGTGCTTGTGTCTAACACCCACTCCTTGCCTAGGGGCAGATCGCAGGCTTTCATCGCACCCTGGCGAGCCAGGCCTGCAGATGGCTTGGTGCTGGGGTGGGGGACAGAGCAGCCTCTCCCCAGGCTCTTGCAGGGTGGTATTAATGCCTCTGAGAGGCAGTGGGCACCGTGCTGCTCAGGACCCCCCTGCCATCCGTCCTAACCACCATGGCATAGCCAGGAGCTGGCCCCTGCCTCTGTGCTCTCCCCTCCAGCCCTTGCAGAGCTAGGATCAGAACAAGCAGACTCCCCCTCTCGTCCCCCAGTTGGGATCTAGCTGAGCCTGCTGCACAACCCTGCTCCTGCTGCCATGCCTGCCTTCAAGATGGGTCTGAAACGCACGTCCAGCCAGAGCAGAGGCACTCGAGGAGGTTTATTATAGGCTAAGTGGGCTGGATGTTCAGTTCTGCAGAGTCTGGCCACGTGTTGGACGTTTTCCACCTCCCGGAGGTACATCCCGGCCTCTGCGGGGATGCGGGGCAGCAGGCTCCTGCAGCCATGCTCGCTCTGGACTTCCGCTGTCTTGGCCTGGTGCCTAGCACTGGACCTCGGCCCATGCTAGTGAACTACGTGTGCTCACACCCCTGTCACACGTGCTACTTTGCCAGGGGAAGTCACTTGCTGCAGCACCGAGCTGTGTAAGAAGCTCCCCTGTCCTTCGTGGGTTCTGCGTAGCCTCCACTGAAAGTGCTGTGACTGCAACGTCTTTGGAGCAGGGAAGTCCCCTGCACTGCTGCTGTGAGCCATCGCCCTTGCTGAACTGTGCCTGGGGCCCTTCATATGCTAGTGGTAGTGACTGGTACTCTGAGTCTCCTGAATGGGCTATGCGTGTTTGCTAATTGATCCTCTGGCTGTCTGGGAAGGAGAGGGGGAAGAATGAATCCCCCTCTCTGCAGATGGGGGAAACTGAGGCAGGTGACTGGTGTGAGACCACAAAGGAACCCAGTAAGAGCTAGGATGCGAGCCCGGGTGCTCCTGGCTTGTGGTCCAGTGCTTGCTCTGTGTATGGCACCTCTCCCTCTACGTACCAGGAGTGACGCTCCAGACTGGGCCTCCGTATCTACCAGTCTGTCGCGCTGCATGGTCCCAGCATGCTCTGCCGCACGCCTGCCTGCTCCTTAGCTGGGCTCATCTCAGACAGGTGGGCATGCAGGAAAAGGTCCTCTTCACCCGCAGCAGGAAGTGTGCAGTGGTGCCCTTGATGCTTCTGCTCTGGGGCACCAGGCCCTGCCTGGCTCCCTGTGCCCCAGACGCACCTCCTCTGCCTGCTGGCAGCAGGGCCTTGATCTCCGCCTCATCACTGAAAGGGTCTGCTCCAAACCGCTGCTCCAGGTGTCTGCGAACCTGTGGGGAGAAGAGGCTGGTGATGACCCTATCCAGCCTTTGAAAGAGTCTCCTGGTAGAGGCTGGTGGGGAGCTCTGCTGCTCTGCAGAGGAGTCTGATGCACCGTCCGCCCGGCTCTCGGTCTGGATGCTGGTCTCTTCCCTGTTCCCAAGTCCCCTGTGCTCTTTGAGGATGAGAGTTTCTGCGGACACAAGGGTCTCCTCCCCCCCTCCCGCCCCCCTTGGCTTGCATCGTGCATGGGAAGCACTGTGCCATGGCTGGGTCCTTGGCGAGCGTCCCTTGGACCTCTGCACGCAGAGTGCCGCCTAGGAGACGGGCAGCCCCCAGCTCTCACCTTCCGCACGGCCCCACGGCCAAACTCCTCCAGCTGCTGCTTGAAGCCAGGGTTGGGATTGGCAATGGGCCGCACGGCTTTCACGGCATCCAGCACCTCCTCCCAGCGCAGGCCCGTCACCGCCATGATGTAGGCGACGACGATGGTGGTGCTCCGGGAGATCCCTGCAAGGCTGGAACCACAGCGGGACTGGGCTGGCAGCAGGGCCGTGCTGCCCTTCATTGCCCTGGCCTGCCACAGCCCCCAGGTGCACCCGTCCCAGCGGATTCCCTCCTCTCCTCCTCGGAGGCAGCCTCTCCTCCCAGACCCCACCCCAGGGCCCTGACAGTCTCCTCCACTGGTTTCCAAATCCCTCCTCCTGCCAAAGGAAGTGAAAGCACAAGCTGCTTCTAGGAGTCCTGCCCACCCCTGCGCTTCCCCTTCTTGCCCAATGCCAGGAAAGCAAACACCTCTCTCCTGGGACAACAGTCCCAAGCCCGGGAGGAATCCTTAACTGAGCTCCGCTTGGGAGACGCCGTGACACCAGACCCGACTGCCAGGCCCCCCAAACAAGGGGGTCCGTCAACTTGGGCGTGCCCTGGGTCTATGCCGGGTTGCATTTGGTGTCCCGTTGGGCTCTGCTGACTCCCCCTGGCACTTTGCCCAGGGCAGTGCAGCACAAGGGGCATTTGGGAGGGAGCCTTACCAGTGCACGAGGCAATTCCCACCATGCAGACGACAGTGGTGGATGAAGCTGATACATTCCTTAAAGTGTTTCTTGCTAGCAGGAGAAGGAAAGCTGTTAGAAGCAAGGCTCTGGGCTGTGAAACAGGATTTTAACAGGAGCAGTGGGTGGCCCCATTCCCTGGCGCTCAGAGCAGTGCCAGTCAAGTAAAATACATTTACCGCCACTTCTCGAGGCACCAGTCACAGTTGCAGCTTTAATGCCTCGGTGCAGCTGTGCTTTCCGCTCCAGATTTGGGCAAAGGGCTCCGAAGCAGTCACAGGCTGCAGGAGCGCACCCGGGCTGTGCTGGGCAGCCCAGGGGCCGTGGAGATGGACCAAGGCACTCTCCAGATGTGAGCTCATGAATCGCACAGGCCAGGCGCTGGCCTCCACTGTCTGCCCAAGTCCCTGGCCAACACTCGCATGCCATGTGTGTACCCAGAGGGGAAGACTGGCCTTCTAAAGGGCAGCTTTTCCCCAGTGTCCCAGCCGAGCATGCATCCTGCCCTGGGCTCCTGCTTGCCCTGATGCTAGGTGGCCCGTGACTAGCTTGCAACCCCACGTGTGAACCTGAGGCAGGATGCTCTGTCAGGACCGATGTGAGATGCATGCCCCGCTGCACCCTCCCAGCTTCATGACCTGCCAGGTGCTGCCTGGAGCACACGCTAGGCAGCTGGCTTGTGGCCTTGGCAATGCCCGCAACCCCTGTGAGCCCTGATGTTTCTCTGGCTCAGGGCAGGGAAACGTGACTGGGGCGCAGCCTTGGCTTGGTACTTACATGTTGGCCTCGGGGGCGTCCGGCAGGGGAATGCGCAGGTAAGTGATTTCCTGAAACGCATCAAAGGCATGGGACAAATGTTGGAGATGAGGAGCTGGTGTTTTTGTCCCTCTCCACCCCAGAAAATGCTTCCAGAGTCCAAGTAGCCACATCCACCGTCTCCCTGGGACGGCAGGCTGAGGGAGGCAGCAGTGAAGCCAAATTGCTGTGTGACAGATGCAGATGAAGACAGACCCGGGGAGATAAACTGACCCTGACTATGGCCTAGAGGCAGGCAGGCTCTCCTTGATCACTTTGCCCTCTGAGCACATCCTTGGCATTCCAAGAGTACAGGGTTATATTTGCCAGAAAGCTATTTTCTAGGCTCGAGGAGCAGAAGGATTCCTCTGGAACTGGGGAAGGGGAAGAGCTCGCATGGCTGTGTGGCCTGGGGGATAAGGAGAAGTCGGGGATCAGGTACCCACCTGCAGCAGTGGCTGGGGAGATTCGTGGATTGAAATGATGTGGGTGATCTTATTCCTGTTCAGTTGCTCCAAATCCTTGGCATCTGTATGGGGGAACACGTGCAGTGAGCTTCCAGTGTGCGCTAGCTTCTTACATGTCCATTCCCCCTCCCTACATTGGGGGTGAGGGGGAGTCTTCCTCTGTGCAAAGGACCGCTAGTGACCCAGCGTCCCCAGCAGCCCAGTGTTTTGTGGCTGCAGTTGTGGTCACTAGTCTGGGTCTCGGACGTGGCTCTGGAACGAAAGCAGGCTGCTCTTGTCAGTCCTCGTTGCACTTTTCCCCCTCTTGTGACTCTTTTTAGCAGTGGAGAACTCAAGACCAGCACTAATACGCTTTCTCCTCTCCCGGTTTTGGGAGTCTAAACTTCCAGGGGGTATAAAGCACTGGCTTGCAGTTCTAAAACACCATGTGCTAATGGCATGCCATACATTTTTAATAAATAAAGAGAGCCTCCAGGGAAACGCTACATGCCAGGATTTGTGAAAGAGAGAGAGGAGGGGGGGAGCAGGATCTGCCTCTCCATCCATCTCTCTACATTGCCCATTACCCGATGATGTGAGCGTCTGGCAGGCAGAGTGATGGTAATTGCAGTGACATGGTTTTTAAAGACGCGTGTTTGGTGGCTTGCTAGGGACAGAGAGAAGGCTTCCAGGTGGAAGGCATGTCTTGAGCAGAGACAGTTTGCAATCTATCAGGCCTTAAATCTCTATTGTGATCCCCCTGCAACCCCCAGTCTCTGGGTTGAGCGGTGTTTTTTATGGCACCAATCCAAACCGGTGTAGTAGAGTTTGGACTCGCCGTAACCTTTCTGATTGATCTGCAGTCTGAATATTCCTCTGCCCCCAGGGACATCTCGTACTACCCTTTTGCTGTGATGGGTCCAGTGCCTCCGGGAAAATCCCCCGCTGAGGAAGGCTCTGGGGTTGGGCCCTCACACTCCATGGCTACACGGGCTATTTTCAGGGATGCCTTGTGGGAAACCTACACCAGTTTTCAAACGAACTTGGCACCGCGACTAGGAGCAAGTGACTGTGCTGGGGGCACGCGGCTAGGAGGCTCTCCTGACAGTGTGTGCACAATTGGTGGGTGCTGAGCACTTGAAAACTTGGGCCTGAGTGCTTTGGAAGTGCTGGGCTTCAGAGGTGCCCATACTGAATGCCGCCTTGCCCCACGAGCATCCCATCGGCCTCCGTGCAGCGGCCGGCTCGGTGGGGGGAATGCGTCAGAGCCTGCTTTCTGCGCAGGGTCAGAACGGCGCTCCGTGCCGTACACGCTGCATCTCCCAGCGTGGCCGTCCCCCCTCAGGAAATGCACTGTCCAAGCTCACTGGGGAAGTCTGACCCCTGAGCCTTCGCCCCTCCAGTGCTTTCTAGCCCCCTCCCTGTCCGGACCTTCCCGCGACCGGCACCTGCAAAGCGGTACTCGGCCGTGCACGAGTTGTGCTCAGCACAGGCGCTCTGGGAGGTTGGAGGAGCTGATCTAACACTCCTTCTTGACCCGAAATCTGTGCTCCCTGATGGCAATCCCACGCAGTCCTGTTGGCGACCATTCAGAAACATGCTCCACACCACGCTCCCCTTTGTATTGAACAAGGGCAGCCGAGAAGGCTTTTCAATCACCAAGCTGTCTGTCTCAATGCACAGAAGCAGAGACAATGGCCGCACTTGGCTGCGGTCAAGTGTCATTTCAGATATATCTTCTGCAAGGGGAGGGGGGCTGAGTCCTCTGGCAGGGCCTGGGCCTCTGGAAAGAGGATCTGGGGAATTGCAGATGAAAGGGGCCTCGGACTGACTGATGCCATTACAGGGGAAGATGGAGATCAAAAGGGAAAGCAGAGTCTTGCCCTGTGTTTCTTCCCAGCCCTGCTGAAACGGTTACACATCTCTGCTTTACTGTCTCTTACTGTGCCGGCACTGCATGCAGGAGCCAGCCCCAGGCCAGCAGTGTTTGGCCTCCTCTGCTAGACAGAAAGCAGGCGATGACTGGTACGTTGTGGAGCAAGGCAGCGTCCCGGTTAGCTGCCTCGGGTGCCCTTGCAGTACATAGCAAGCGTACGGCATTGGCCTCACTACCGGGGTGCAGAGAGGCAGAGTCACTGTGCCGTGTTGCAGCTCGGAGCCTCTTGCATGTTGGATGTGCCGTCACAAAGCCCTAGGCTCAATCAGTGTTGTGTGTTTGCTACCTCCCTCGGCACCACCAACACCATCGTCCTCACAGCCCCAGTCCCCTTCCTTGGAAATGGAGAAACCCCCTCCCACCCATCCAGCTGTCTGGTCTTCTGCAGGGCAGCACAACCTTCCTGTCCCTGCCAGGCCAAGGACGTTCCCCTCTGCTTCATTACATCCCTTCCCACAGGGCCTGGGGTGGATGAAGCCGGAGGGGCTCCCGAGCCAGGGTGATGGAGCAAAGCTGTGGGGAGCAGAGCGGTCCAAGCCAGGAGGGGAGCACAGAGCCTGGGGGAGTGAGAGATGGCCTTGCAGGGGGGGATGAAGCACTTTCATTGAGCAATGAAGGAAGGAACTTGGCTGCCAGGTTTGTAACCAGGACTGGCATCGTGACCCCGAAATACACGCAGATTAAGGACTTCCTCGCTGCGAGGCAGCCAGAGGAGATCTCCCGTGCTGCAGCCCGCTGCCCGTCCTTTCCCAGCCGCCCTGTGTTGTACTTCCAGTGCCAACCAGGCTGCAGGGTGGTGGCCTGGCATGGAGGGAACACGGCTCCCTTGATGTGGAGGGCACTGGGGCAGAGGGCTATGCATGGCCCGGGCAGCTGGCTGTTGCCCCAGCTCAGGTACTTCTGTCTAGGTGCAGCGGTGCCACTCACCTATGAAGTTTCCAAGGTAAAGGCCCGGGATGATCTGTGGGACACAAAGAGAAGGGCCCGGCTGTGAGTGGTTGCTTTGCACGTCACACGCACCCACCCTCCTCCCCAGGAGCCGATTGCAGCGAGCGCGTGACACGTTCCCCAAAACAATGCAGACAAAGGAAACGGCTGGTGTTTGCCGCCCACCCTCCTCTTCCTGGACCTCTGCACACTCCTCTGCCTCTGCCGTCACTCAGGCTTTTCCTGTGGCTGATGCGCATGTGACTTGTGTAGGGTGAGGACCCTCCGTCCGTGTGCCCGGGTCCACGTGCTCCAGTGAGACATGTCTCGTACCAGGGGAGGGCGGGCAGACCGGGCGCCCCCGGGCTTGGTCTGCGCAGCTTGCTAGCTCCATAAGATGATTCCTGGCGAATGCCCGCGGGAGCACCCACAGGGCTCTGTGCCGGGCAGCGGCACTGACCCCATCCATCGGCCACGTGAAAAGCAGGGAGAAAGTCCGTCTTAAATAGGTTGCCTTGTATTTCTAACTGGCCATCTCAAAAAATGACACTCTTGCCTCTGCCTATCCCGGAGATGCTACGGCCTCCGCGCTGCCCTCCGTTCAGTCCACGCCACCCCAGGGCCTCCTGCGAGTTTGTCAAAAAGGGAAGTAAAAGTAGCATTTTTAGGCTGACAAAACTGCTCCATGTGGGAGGCTCCTTCAAGCTTGAAAAGGATGCGAGGGGGAGGTGCTGTGGCATTTTTAATCGCCCTCCTTATAAATTCTCACTAACGTTGGTTTGCTGGGGCCTTTCCCTGGACAAACTCCACGTGCCAGACACAAATCCAGCTGTTCAGTACTAGGCACTAAATGAGTCGTCCAAGGCCACCCAGAGAGTTCAGTGGGGCAGAAGTAGGAAACGAACCCGTCCGCTGCCCACCACATCAGTCTCTCTTCTCCATTTCAGCCAAGATGGGGCACTGGCCCGTTAGCTTGTCCTGTTTCTTTAGAAGGAAACTTCTTCTCCACACAAGAAATAGCAAGTCCCTTTGTTGCAGGCTGCAAGAGGGGGCAGAGCGTGTGCACATGCGTGAGGGCACAGTAACGGGTCTAATCTCGCTAGAACTCTGCCCCTAAGTTTGTAAAGTCTTTAACCTATTTCCACGAACAATGAATGCCACTTTCTTCTACAACGCTAATGCCCACATCGAGGCGATGTGAACAGAATTAACGTTTTAGGGACACTGTGAGCTCCAAAAGTACTTTCTGGAGAGGGAAACCTTTATTTCCCTGAGCCATTGGCAGCACCCTAGGTTATTTGATGTGGGAGAATTTTAATAAAACCCATTTTACTCTTAACGATGTTTCTCTCTGTACTTGGCATTTCTTCGTTTGGAGGATAAACACTAATTAAGTCCATCTCGCTTTCGTTTACTGCAGATTTCACTTTCAGTTTCAATGACCAGTCACAAAAAGCACAGGGGACAAATTATTTTGCATAAAAACTGTCGTTTTGATGGTCTCCAAAAAAAACCAACCCCAAAACCCCTTGTTTTTAAATCACTTGAACGTTTGGCTCAAATGCAAATTGATGTGGTGCTTTTAATCTTCTGCTCCTGGACTGAAAATGAGATTGCTGTGTTTCAAGGGCACCTCCAGAGAGGAGACTGCAGTAGCAATAAATGTAGGCATGGTCCTATTACACAATCGCAGTCCTGCTCTGTTCTACGCCTCGGTGACATATCCTCGTGCATGTGCATTGCATCCTGGTGGAGAATATTGCAAAACTCCTGACTGGGCAGGGAGGGAGCATGCTTTTAAAGGGTTAAGGAGAGGGGAATGAAAACACTTTGCTTTAACCAAGGAGCTGTAACACAAAGACCAGGAAGTGGAGGCTGCTCTTTTCATGAAGCTGTGCCTTGGATACTCTAACCCCACAGGCTTTGCTGTGAAGAGTAACAGGCCCCGGGAATAGCGGGTGGCAGAGCGGGGTGCTGTCCCCATGGGTCTCGGGGAAAGGATAGCACTTAGGTGGTGGAAAACTTTTTTTCCCTTGGGTGCTTGCAGGACACAGGGCTGCCTAGTGACTCAGAGGGGCACCGTAGAGATCACAAGGAAGGGACCCAGGTGTCCCCCTTACATCAGCTCTGGCATCTCTTTTTTTTTTAAACTCCTCTCTGCTGTCCCCAAACAGGCTGCTCCATCCCCAGCTGCACCAGCCTTGTGCTCAGACCTTCCCTCCTGCCATACCTGGCCTCTGGGAACGCCCAGGAGGCTTGGGGTCCAGCTGTGCTCAGCCTGTCACTAAACACCACCCCCCCGCCGCTACAGCACCTCACTTTCCTCCGTTACTTAAGGCAGGTTTTACTGCACATCAGGTAGACCCCGACTCCAGCTGCTGCCCGGCTCTCGTCTGCCAAGCAATGAGAGGCATGCAGCTTTACCCCAAATCCTCCCAGCTCTGAACAGCCCATCTCAGGCTAGGTACAGACATTCAAAAAGCCAGCGGTGGAATCGATCTAAGTGAAGCGGCGTAGCTGAGATCGGTAGTGAACAGCACACACGTTCGCCTCTTGCTGGGGGGGCAAGTCTTAGACTGGGTCCCACCATTTTTAAACCAGCCTGTGCGCGCCCAACTCCTGTTCTGTGACAGGTGTAGCCCAGCTTCCGATCACTTATACCGGTTAAAGTGCAATGTCGGTACCTGGCCGGGGACAGCAGAGCCCCACAAGGCTAGCGGCTCTCGGTGCTGCTCGTTACCTTGCTCATGCCATTTCCCATGGTCCAGAACGACCGCCGCAGGAGGCGGGGGAGCAGGTGTCCTCGTCTCCTGGCGCGGTGGTACTCGGTCAGTCTCCTCTCCCAGCGCTCAGTGACAGGACATCAGTTTTGGACCCCTCCAGGGTCACGGCCTTTTGGGGCTTGGGTTGCGTGTGGTTTGTGGAGGTGGGGGGGTTCTCTCCTCTGTCACAAGCTGGGCTCTGGGCAGCAGCTGCGTGTCCCAGGGGATGGAATAAATCTCCTCTGGTTTCCAGCGCCAGCTCTTGGGGGCCCCGCCTCCCGCCCAGACGGAGAAGTTGCTCCTTAGTGGCCTTGTACCAATTGTTCTCTTTGCCAGGGCAGGGACAATAGAGGAGAAACTCCACCTAGCAGCAATCGTGTGGGGGTGCTGAGGCCAGGCCGGCTGCTGGCTTAGTGCTGCTGCTCTCCAAGCAAATCTGCACAAAGCCTCAGTGTTCGGATAAGAACAAAACCCTTTGTCCGGTCTGCTCTCTGACAACGAAGGTCTGTTCGGCCACGGAGCTGGGTGCTCAGCGGGGTGCCCGCTCCTGCCTGTGCCCCCTGGGGCAGGGAGCAATACGAGAGGCAGGCTGCAGCCTCTCGGGGCGGGGGGGAACTTGCAGGCTGGGCCCCCTTCCCGCT